CACACGCGCACACACACACACACACACACACACACACACACACACACACACACACACACACACACTCACACACACACTGTTTGTATGCTTACACCTAATTGAGGGGGCGGGGCTCAATCTGTACAGTAATGAATGCAATAAATAGAAACAAGATGATGTGGTGATCATTATGATGGCCATCGAATAAGAGACTGCCCTCCTTTTCGGATCCTTGTCGAATGCGTGCGCACATGCACGCATATATAAATGCATGCACGCACGCACGCACACACACGCACTCAGTGCAGCCTTATACAGCTGAACAGTGCGTATACATTTAGGCCCGACTATGGCAGCGTGAGAGCTCCACAGACGAAGCAATGTTGATACAAATCTGTGATCGATTCGCTTAGCTTGTCGGTTAGAGGCAAAAGAGGGAAATGGTGGCGGGTTGGTGGTATTAATGGTGGGTGGGGTAGGGTGGGGATCGATGATAATGATGGACCGGGGCAGGGTGTTCGTTTTGGGAGTTAGAAAAACGCAAAATATTCCACAAAGAGGTCGACATAAAAAAACGTAAAATCATTAAAATTAAAAAAAACTTAAAGCGATTTTTCCTCCATGTTGGCCAAAAACTTCAGCCCAAAGCCGTCCTTGGGGTTTATAGGTGGCGCTGATTGCATGCATCGCCTAAGGCGGCTCCTGGGCAGTGATGGGCGAGGGAGGAGCTGCCGTCTCTGCTGGTGAAGCCTGGTCGCTGCATAGGGCAACATTGCAACAACCATTGATCCCGCATATTCATGCATTTATTGGCCGCATCGGCGAGATAAAACGGGGCGTGCGTGCGTACACCGAGTTATATAAGCCCTCGCTGCAACACCAGGCCGGACGTGAGCCCGCATTCCTCCCCGAGCGAAGTGTGCTGTATCTAATATTATAAAGCTATCAATTTGGCCGTAAAAGGGCGAAAATCGCAATTGCCGCCACCATTCAGAACTTATCGTCGTCGTCTGATCGCTCGCGGGGTGTGCCGCCATGATTCTTTATTGCTCAATGAGATTTCTACTTACGTATTCAGACGGGCCTGGGTCTATACTAGCCGGGCCGCAAGTTTTTTAGTCTCACTGGAATTAGTATTGATTTCTTCCATTGATACGCAATGTTCTCTCGGCGTCTTCCCGCGCGTTGCATCCGAGCGGAAATGTTCGCGTGTGTGCTGGATTTGAAAGCAACCGCTGCTTCAACGAAGCTGGCATTGAGGTCATGATCATCCACATCTAACACTGAAGCATTCTTGATGACTTTCATCGTTTGCGCAGTTGCCACGGCAAAGCTAGAAATTTATGCTATTTTTGTGCGATGTGAAACGGCCGCGAGGGCGCGCCGCGATCGCCATGGAAGCCTCAGTGAGTGATCACATTAAAATCGACAGTTTAGGAACCCGGAGGATTTTATTTTTGGCGCCGGTCGAAATTTGTTGGGCGCCGTGAGTATGTACTAGTCTGCAGTGTATATAATCCACGGCTAGAGCCGAGTGCATGTCTCCGATAGTGTCAGACACGAGAAATGCAGTTAGATGGTTAGTTAGGCAATGATGGCGGGCAACTTGACCGTGACTGATTGTATGCCCTGCTCAGACATTTGCTGGTGCATGCAGCGCTCAGCTGCCTGTTTGGTCGCGTTCAGTCCGTATAAAATTATATCCCAAGCTTATGTACTAGTGAGGAACGCGTAGCACTTTTAATGAGAATATTTAACGATGATGATGATTATCATCAATATTTTTATTTATTATTTTTGTTATTATAGTTGTTATTAGCTGCGTTCACACGAGGAGAAAAGTTGCGTTCACACGCTAAAATATACGCGGCTTGCTTAGCCACGGCTTGCTTAGCCGCGAATGCTCCGGCTTGCTAAGCGCGGAATCATATTCCGCGCCAACTAAGCCGCGTATATTCGGCACCACGCTGGCCGCGTATTGATTGTCGTGTGAACGCATTGTTCGTGTTGTTCGCGCATTGTGTGAATTGCGAAACTGTAGCGCTCTAACCTAGACTGCTACCCGTTCGCTGCACGACGTTAGGGTAGCGTGTGGAACTGTCGACCGGGTACCAGTCTATATTATACCGAGCTAGCTAAGCCTCGAATCTCGTGTATCTCGTGTGAACGCATTTTAACCGGACTTAGCACCAACTAAGTACGGTACCAGCTAAGCCGTGTATACGTGTGAACGCAGCTATTATTATTATTATTATCATTGTGCAGATACACTGCTTACTGATGCTGATAATGAAAATGTTAATAATAATCGAATAATAAATGTCTGCGAAGTGAAATGGTAGGTCTACGTGATCTGTGAAACGTGGAGAATAATTGCAGAATGAAAGATGTCTGATATTCTGATGGATAAATTTGCATGCAATCTTTCTGCATGAATTACGACAAACATTTCTAAATTATTTCATCATTGTACTTTACTTTGATGTTTTCGTTTTGCGTTGTCTGTTACCGTAATACTGTCTTCGTGGAACTTGAGTGTATAAACGTATTAGCAGAGCGAAACAAAGAAAACGACGAGATAGAAATGAAGGTAAAGATGTTTGTCGCAAAATCGTAGTCCATATTGCTTTAATCAAATGTATTTGAAATGATGATCAGCGCGCAGTTGATGTCAGTGCGTGCGTGTGTGCTACGTGATCGCGAAGAAAATCCGGAAATTCTGCTCATCCATGAATGTCACGTCTTGCTTGTTATGCTCATAGCGGTGCTGTAAATATCATTGTGAGGGTATTATAAAGATTTATACTTGTTATACTATGTGTCTTGCCGCGGTGCTGCGTTTTTGATTGCCAGTTTAATCATGTTGTTGTTGTTGCGTCTCAGTGAACATATAAATTATTGTAAATTAACGAATTTTGTTGCGAAGTTTTGGTGTGAACATTAAATACTCTCGGCGGAAAATACATTCCAGACATGTAACCGGACAGAACATGCATCTCCTAAAATAGCTAAATAATACAAAAAGCGCAGGAAATTTGATTCGTTGGCAGAATAAATAATAGCAGATCTATGCCTTTGTAATTTATGCGTGTGGTAATTTTATCGTAAGGATCTGCAAAAGGGAATCATGATGCTATAATTTGGCCGTGAATGGTAAACAGAAACGCCATCAATAGTTTGATATAATTAATTCTGTTCGCAGCCTGCTTGAAACCGTTATTTGCAAATACCAATTATAGGGTGACTGATACATTTTATTGTGTGTAGTGCAGTGTGTCTACGTGTATATATATATAGAGTTTAAGAAGTCCTTTTTATTGAAGTTTTGATCTAATGAAAAATGTTAATGTTAATGTTATCTAATGAAGTCTATTAAAATGAAAAATTATCTTGCATTCAGCAGCAGCAGCAGCAGCAGCAGCAGCAGCAGCAGCAGCAGCAGCAGCAGCAGCAGCAGTAGCAGCAGCAGCAGCAGCAGCAGCAGCAGCAGCAGCAGCAGCAGCGGCAGCAGCAGCAGTAACAGCAGCAGCAGCAGGAACAGTAGCAGTAGCAGCAGCAGCAGCAGCAGCAGCAGCAGCAGCATCTCCACTTACTTTCGCGCAAACTCATCTAAAAGCAATTTGAGTGACGTCATTAATATACTTACGACAAGGGCCGGGAGCTTGCAATTAAGCATCGCAGAAAACAACGTGTAAACGTGCACTGTTTAGCATATTTCAGCCCCCGGAGCGTATTTCCTTTAATTAATAACGCTCGCGTTTTGCCACTATCGGGTGTCTAGCGTAGGCAGCTGAGCAATAGCCCGAGCTGCATGAAGCCTTCGTACGTGGCCATGCTATGCTCGACG